TAAAAAGATTAAATGCTGAAGACAAAAGAGACATTGCGCTGGTATTTCTACAATAATAAAATTAACATTGATGATCAAATAAATTTGTGAAAATCATTATGTAAATATATGTACTCAATAGAAAATAATACAGTAAAAAATTTAAGCAGTCCATTTTTATTCACAATTCATGTATTCATTGACGTGTCGAAATACGACATTATTCAATTCACTTGTTCGCGTGAAGAAATAAGAATAATGATAATGCGACAATTACTATATATTTTATAGTATGCCAATTTTAAGTCATATATTAAAAATCTACGAATCTTAGAGAGTGCATCTTGTACATATACGGTACTATTAAAAAATATATTTGTTGTACATTTAACGAATCTATAGTTTTTTAAATAAAGAAACACACATGTCCAGTGTTTATTTATCTTTTCTTCTCTCATTCCGTTATCACTTTTACTCATCCCACATTATTATAATTTGTAAAGTGTATATATAACATTGTCGCATTGGCAGTCAGCAGGATAATGCATGTTGAATATTATTGGTTATTTTTATATTAAAATTATACTTGCACTAAAATGTAGTAGAGTCTACGTAAATCTTAATGTAAACATTTAATGAGAAATCATTTTACTCTGTTATCGGTTTGCTCTATGATGGATTTATAAATTATAAATTATAAATAAAAGTAATGCATAATCGTGTTTAGCAGATCGCATATCGATTATTAGATAAATATATATGTATTCAATATTAACATATACAACACCGTTGTTAATAAATTGCATCGTAAAAATCTATTCTAATTGTTTACGAGAAACTATATATAAATTTATATAAATCTATTAATAGATGCATTTATTTATATATGCAGTCACTGCCGTTCCTTAACCTTTTTCATGTCCTTGTTTGCCGAATATTAAATAAAGATAAAATGATATATCTGCGGCTGCACTGACTGCATAAACGAATGCATCCGATATGCTATTTTATTATACTTAATTAATAAATGTACGTCGGTAATTTTGGTAATCAAGTTTATTAAAGTTGTTTATAGATGACGTTTACAGACAAAACAGCTCAGTGCTTTGAAATTATGGACTACGTTCGGGGAGACGCTACTAATGCTATTTGTGTCTTTGTTTTACACCTATAATAAATGATAACTATAGAATAATACAAATAGCGTTAATAACGTCTCCTTGAACGAATTCATAAGTCGGTTTTAATTTCAAAATCGTCTTAAGTAATGTTTTATATATATGCTAATACAACTCTATGATCATTGACTTAATGATGTTTTAAGATTGTACTTAAAACGATCTTGAATAACCTCTAAGAACCTCGATTATGAATACCGGCCTAATCAATTCTGTTTTCCTGTATCCTGCTCTTCAACTTCTAATGTACATAATGGTTCCTGCACACAGAATGTACGCGGCAACGTTTGCCGCGCTGAAGGCGGAAGTTAACGCGATCTATATGTGTAAGAGCCATTATATTTATAATAACGATTTTGGCTGGTCTGCACCAATCTGCATCAATGTGCCACCAGTACACAGTGTAAAGCTGATGCAAATGGATATAGTGCAATTACAGTAACTGATCCCGTATTAATTTGTGAGAGCCACTCTGTGTACACCCAAAATATGCGCCTGTGCGACACATCGAGTTCAAACGAACACGCGGCACTGACGATCAGGGGCTGCATCATTTGACCAGCCGAACACGCAACATCCGAAATGTGCAATCGGTGTCCAGTCGAAATTGCTATGAGATCAGTTCTTAAATACACGTTGCATTCGCTTTGGACGTTCACGCGCTGTAAGCGTTAATTTTATCTTTATCGCTTATTACATACGGAAAGAAGAAAAAACGAAGCTTACAGCTCGCAAGAGCGCCGCAAAAGTAAATACAGTCACAGCTTTATTATAAGCTAATTATAGAGCAGTATTAGCATCTTAAGACATTACTTACAAGATCAGGTTTTAATTACGTACCGCCGCTCCCATATTTTTTATTCGGGAAATACGCATGTATTTTTTCGCTGCATCAATGATTCATGATTCGGCTGGGGAGTGGGGACGAGAAGATGATTTAGACGTGCAGTTAATAGTGATAGTGAGCGGTACTTCCCCGCAGTCTGTTCTGACGACTCGATTAAGATGAACATATGTTCTACTTCGATCCGAGTGTTGCATGATCTTTATAAAGTTTTTTGAAACGTTCTGATGGGACCTGTTGAATTTGTTACGTGTCTTTCTGTAAACATTTTACGAAATCTCTGCATTATTCTACATTGAAACAAGGAATAATCTATCAACGACTAATATTTATATATCCATCAGCGTATCTGAACACTGGCCAAGACGGGCCCGCTACGGATCTGCGAGTCACTAATCCTTCGAAGAAAAAGAAGAAGGTATAAAATCTTATTCATGTTTTAAAAATGTAAACATATTTCAATATATATATATTCATCATTATATTAATACAGTGAAATCTCGATAACTCGAACCTCTACAACTCAAAAACCTCTATTTCGGCCTGTCTTGTTTGTCTATCACATTCACTTCTCACTGTTTCTAATTTATTGCTTAACGCCACTAGTGCCATGTTAAAATTTAAAAAATAAATGCATCTACGTTATAACACAATCGTTGCTTTACGGACATGAACTACAGCGTCTGCAACATGTGTTCAACTTTGGTATATCTATTGCATTGCAAAATGACTCTCATGACCTTCAAGACTTTGAAGTAATTATTAAGGAAAAGAGCGAGATGGATCCGACACAGACTAATACACGTTTAAAGAAAGAAAAAAACTGTACTATAAATTATATTTACAAAAAAATATAACAAAAAGAAAATGAAATAAGTAAAAAAAGGGAAAACAATTAACTGAAACATAAAATTGTTAAATGGTGTTTCAAATGCGCATTACATCAATCACACGATTAATTTGTCACAATGATAATCGCACAGTATGTTCTATCGAATCGCTCGAGAAGCTTTATCTTTACACGGAAAGAACACTTTCGCTGAATCTAGATTCCATTTGAAAATAATTTTGGTTTAATAATCAAAATAATTTTGCGTAACAGTCAAAATGATGCTAGAATATCAAAACATTTTATAGCAATGTTTATCAGTTTTAACATTCCAACAAATTATTTTAATGATTTAATAAAAAATTATTTTCAGTTCTGTTTTTAGCAAAATTTTTGGACTTTTTAACAAAATTGTTCTTTCCGTGTATTGTAAGAATTCCGCGATCACACGTATATAATCGCCTTGAGAAGCACTAATGTGTCCGGAAGATGGCATTTCAATCATAGGCCTTTTTGATCGCCTAGTTCAAATTATGCTGAACACAATATAATTATAACATCTATACAAAATAATACATAGATGTTATAGATATAATATAATATAATTATATCTATAATATCTATGTATAATATATATAGATGTATAATTATATAGAAATAAAATTAAAAATTATAATTTAATAATAACATAGAAGTTTCGCATTTTTTAATAATCTTTTGTTTTAATTATCTTAAATGTAATGTAAAATAAGAATTACATTTTACAGATTCGATCAGTAACGACGGTGATTCGAAGCCCTTACATTATACTGCAGCTTATACTGTGAAATCGACAGTAGCAACAACTGGAATTCGCCTTACTGTCCCTATTATGAAAAACCACCCACAATCACAACCACGATTGTAAAACCAATTACTATTATACAAGGCAAAACGCTCAATACAACCATTACTATCAATAAAGTCATAGTACCTTCTCTTTTTTAAGAACCGGCTGTGATGGAGAAAGAGGATAAGACATTTTCATCAGCAGGATATACGTAAGTTTTGCTGTCTAAGAACTCTGTAAATAGTTAACTATGTAGAAGAGACGAGTGAAAAAACATTTATCTGAAAATAACCCATATCGCAATTATTATTACATGCAATAATGTGATGATTTATTTTACACAGGGCGGATGGTATAAATGATGCAACAGCTATGGATCGTATTAATTTAGTAAAAAAATCTCAAAGAATAGTTGATTTTACAGACTTTATTGTGCAGATACGATCTAATAAAGGTGAAGTATTTTACACATAACAAAAAATTAAACAAATCATGATAATCTCATCAAGTATAATATTATCAAATCCTCGTCCAGGAAATAATTTTTACAAATCATTATAATTAACTATTGTTATTAATTTTTTTACTAACTTATTTACTTTTTTGTAACTATGGTAGAATACATTACAAATTTTAATGTTGTCAATATATATATTAAATTCAAATTTGTTTTTACACTTTTAGTTACTGCTACAAGAATTAAAGCTAAATATAAGAGGGCTATTTTTACCTCATAATTTATATTATACTATTCCGACATAGATTGATAGCGGGTTATTAACATGCCACAAATTGTTTTTGATTGTGAATAAAATAGCAGAAAAAAGCATTAAACATGAATTAAAATGTGGAGCTTAATTATACTATACCTTTCGCGCTTATACCGACGTGATGGAGCATGAATTTCATCAAAATGCGTTTACGTAGCTCGCATAATGTTTTAATCGTTTTAATACAATTCTTCATAATTATTTTAGTGATCACGTGGAAAATTGTCGTGGCTTTATTGTGCGTTCTAATTTTATTACTTCTCGCTACTATTATAGTGGTCACAACTGTATATTTTACTCACCAGAAAGCACCGGAAATTCCATCAGACTCATCGCCCGAAGGTAATTTCAGCTGAAAATGTTTTCGCTTTGGAAACGTACAAGACAAACTTTATTGTGATTGCAAAATTTAAATCTGTCCTGCACTCCATATTTGTATTATATTTTACCTGTGAAAAGCACGTTTTTTATTTTCCGACTTGCATATTGTATACATATCAAAACACTTTGCATTTCTCATACGAAGTATAACGTTCCAGATTTTATTAGAAAAATTGGCGTATACATTTGATTTAAATTGCCGCATCAATATTTAAGTTAAATGCTATATCCAATTAATTTATATGAATTGTATGCATATCATCTCGAACCTTTCGTTATGATATACATTTTATTTGTATTTTTCATGATTTTCAGGTATAACAGAAACTTCGGTAACTTTCGGTTTTGTCGAGAGAAACGAATGGGGTGCGCAGCCACCCTCAGGACCTTTAACAAAACTAAAGCTGCCAGTACCATACGTTATTATTAGTCACACCACGACAGACTTCTGTACCACGAAATCACAGTGTACATTCCATGTGAAATTTGCTCAAACTTATCATATCGAATCTAGACAGTGGTCGGATATCGCCTACAATTTCCTCGTCGGAGGCGACGGTCTCGCATACGTTGGCAGAAGTTGGGACTACGTCGGCGCCCATTCCTTCGGTTTTAACAGCAAGAGTATCGGCATTTCCTTTATCGGTACATTCAAC